CACACGCACACACACTTCTTAGCCCTCCTTCTCCTCTTCTGCTTTCCTTTCTCCTCCTCTTCGCCATCATCACAATAGTCACCAACACCACGACCATAAGAAAGTATAGGGGCACTTGGGTGACTCCATCAGTTGAGCGTCTGACTTCGGCTCAGGTCATAATCTCACAGTTCATGGGTTCAAGCCCCGCATCAGGCTCCCTGCTGACATCTCAGAGCCTGGAGCCTGCTTCGGATTCTGTGTCTCCCTCTCTCCCTGCCCCTCCCCAGTCTGCACTCTTCTCTCTCTCTCTCTCAAAAATAAATAAACCTAATTTTTTTTTTTTTTAGAAATTATAATGAGCAGCATTGCCAGAGGACCACCTATATGCTAAGCACTGCTAAGGGCTTAACACAGAGCTGCAACCTTCACAGTAACCCTGAGTTAAATATTATGATTACTTCTTTTACAAGTAAGTCACACACGCAGTAAGTGGCATACCCAGGATTCAAACTCCAAAGACTTCCTTATTAGCCATGACACGACACAGCTTCAAAATTCATGAAAATTCATGGATGAGTTTCAGGAATTCATCTCTAAGAACAACTTTATCCTTCAATAATAGCAGCAGCAGTGAGAGTCATTTCTGAATGTAATGGGAACACTATGATACAAAGACATTCAGCTTCCCATGAAACACCGAAAACTTGAATTTTTCTTGTGTGAAGGTCTGTATGTTTGGGATCGCAAATCTAGAAACTTCTATAGGACAGTTGGAAATCTTAAAGGGCATCACTTCTCACTAAAATGTAGGAAAGTTGAATATTCAAACATTTAAGGTAGCCATGTAGGCGAAAGAAAGAAAGAAAGAAAGATTTCACAAAATGTGTCCAAATGAACTTTAAAGGTAAACAAAGTAGGGTGAGTGTGCAGTTGGTTCCAAGACAGGAGGAAAGCTTTGTCTTGGTGAGAAGGAGCACAGTAGTCATGTGAGTCTTGTACCTTTTCTGAGGAGAGCTTAACTATCTCCTTTTCCTCTGGCTGCATTTCTGTCTTCTACCCAGTGTCCATCTGTCTTGTGTCTGGCAGGAGCTGGCTCCTAGAAACTCAGAATCTCCTACTGGGTCTCTCCTTTGGGGCAAGACCTGGACCTAGACTCTTCTCGGGATGCTTCTGACCTCTGGAACCTAATAAACGTTTCAAGGGCATCCCTCAAACCTAGGCTTCAAAGCCAGCCCATCCCACAGGTTGCTGCAGACCATAAAACACATTCAGTGTTTCTGTGTGGACATTATGCACCAGTAAATAACTGCTCAAAGCCAAGACAGCATGCTAGGTATGGGAAGAGGATATCATGTGGGCAGAGTGGCCGAGATGACTAACAGCTGGAAGTTTCACGAAAACATAAAGAATTCTATTATTAAAGTAACATTGTCTCCGTGTTCTAAAATTGGAAAGTGAGATTTTTTTTCCAAACTTCAGAAATTAAGGATAAGAAGAGGTCTATATTAATTTTTTACAATAAAAGTATTAAGCATGTGTAAAAAATAAAATAGTACACAGAATTTTGACTATACATGAAAATTATAAGATTTGTAAATTCAAGTCAACTAAAAATGTAATAATGTTTAAAATTTGAAGTGAATTTCAGTTAACTTGCCTGGCATTCACCAGAAAGTTTTTTTCTGGAATCAACTCCATATACTTTTGGTACAACGTAAATAAATACCTATGATTTTGTTCATTCAAGAAATATCTATCCATCTCCCATTTTGTATCAAATACCATGCTAGGCCCTGTAGATACTAAAATGAATTTTCTTTACCTGAAGTAATCAATATTACTTTTAAGTAGATCGGGGAAAGTTAAAGATGTGTATTGTAATCACTAAAGTAACCACTAAAAACAATTCAGAAAGATATAAGTAGAAGCCAATGAAAAATTAAAATGGAATACTAAAAAAATTGAATAACATAAAAGAATCCCCAAAAAAGGAACTGAGACAGAAAATAAATGGAGAAATGGCAGACCTAACTATAATCCTATCAACTAGTTTATATGAAAATATACTAAAAATTCCTACTAAGAGGCAAAGACTGCCATACTTGATTTAAAAAAGAAAAAGCCAACTATATGCCATAAAATACACACTTTAAATAAAAAGACACAAATATATTGAAAGCAAAGGCCAGGAAAACATCTCCCACACAAATAGTACATACAAGAAAGGCAGACTGGCTATGCCCATGGCACATAAGAGATTTGAAAATAGGAAGCAACACCATACGGATCAGAAAGTTAATATACCAGAAAGCAACACATATCATAAATATAGGGACTTAGTAGCAGAACTTCAAAATACGGGAAGCAAAAATTGAAAAACTAAAAAAAGAAATAGATAATTTTCAAACATACTTGGGACACTAACTCTTCTCTTGGTATTTGATAGAACAAGGTAGAAAGTATCCGTCAAGACACAGAAGATCTGAAGAACACCATCAACCACCCTGCCCTAATTTATATATATAAAAGACTACACCCAACAACTACTGAATATATATTCTTTCCCCCACGTGGATGTAGTGTGCTTACCAAGATAGACCATACACTGGAACATGAAACAATCTCAATAGATTCCAAAAGATTGAAATCTTGTGGAGAATTGAATTCAGACTCAACTTCATAAACCACCTAGGAAATTTCCAAATATTTGGAAATTAACACACTCCAAATAACCCATGAGTCAAAGAAAATATTTTGAACTGAGTGATAATGAAAACAACACATCAAAATTTATGGGATATAACTTACCCAACACAGGCAAAGAAAATATATCTATAAATGTTCATATTAGGAAAGAAGAAAAGTCTAAATCAATTATCTAAGCTCCTATTCTGGAAAATGAGGAAAAGAAGAACAAATTAATCAAAGCTAAGAAATAATAAAGGTAGAACAGGAACTCAACAGAAGAAAAAGCATTCAAGCAATAGAGAACAATGAATGAAACTCTAACCTTGGCTCTTCAGTTTTTAAAAAGGTAAAGAAAATTGATCAACTTGATAAATTACCATTGTCAAAAATGACAAAGGGGAAAACATGACAGATCTACAGGTATTAAAAAGATCAGGGGGGCCTGGGTGGCTCAAGTCAGTTAAGAGTCCGACTTCAGCTTAGGTCATGATTTCACAGTTCATGGGTTCAAGCCCTGCGTCAGGCTCTGTGCTGACAGCTCAGAGCCTGGACCCTGCTTCTGATTCTATGTCTCCCTCACTCTCTGCCCCTCCCCCGCTTGTGTGTGTGTGTGCTCTCTCTCTCTCTCTCTCAAAAATAAACATTAAAAATGTTTTTAAAAAGATCAGAATCTTCTGAACAATTATATACTAATACATTTGATAATGTATAAAAAATGAACACATTCCAAGAAAGATGAAAATTATCAAAACTGACACAGGAAGCAACAGAAAATCTGCATAGCCCTATATCAGTTAAATTCACGATAATTAAATGAAATTCAAAACCTTCCGCAAGGAAAACTCCAGGGTCAGCTGGCTTCACCGGTGAATTCTATCAAATATTTAAGGAAGAAATGACATCAATTCTTCAAATACTCTTACAGAAAATAGAAGATAGAATGCTAGGCAACTCATTTTATGAGGTAAGTATTACTCAAATACCAACTAGATGAGGATATTACAAGACAACTATAGATCAATACCCCTCATGAATGTAGACACCACTGTCCTTAACACGACGTGAGCTGATCAAATACACATATATGTAAGTTCAAATTATCTAGGACAGCATAAGCTATTTTTTAAAAAACCAACAACAAAGTTGGAGAACTTGCATACCCTGATTTCAAGAACCTGCTCGAAAGCTATAGTACTAAGGAAATGTAACATTGGTGAAAGAAGAGACAGGTATATGAGAGGAACAAATAAAAGACCCAAATATAGACAATTAATTGATTTTCTATTAAAATCAAGACGATTTAGTGGAGAAAGAGAAGTCTTTTCAACAAATGGTGCTGGGACAGCTGGATATCCGTATAAGAAAAGCAAATTTAAAACAGATCCTGGGGCGCCTGGGTGGCTCAGTCGGTTAAGCATCCAACTTCGGCTCAGGTCATGATCTCTTGGCTCATGGGCTCGAGCCCTGCGTTGGGTTCAGTACTGACAGCTCAGACCCTGGAGCCTGCTTCAAATTTTGTCTCTCTCTCTCTCTCTCTGCTCCTCCCCTGTTTGCGCTCTGTCTCTGTCTCTCAAAAATGAACAAACATTGAAAAAACATTGTTTTAATAATAAAATTATATATATATATTATATATATAAACAACTAATATAACTCAACAGTAAGAAGAGGAACATTTTTTTTATTTTTTATTCTTAAGCTTGTTTATTTATTTGAGAGAGAGCTCAAGCTCGAGGGAGAGTTTGAGAGAGAGCAGGGGAGGAACAGAGAGAGAGAGGGAGAGAGAAATCCAAGCAGGCTCCACAGTGTCAGTGCAGAGCCCAACACAGGGGCTCGATCTCACGAACCATGAGATCATGACCTGAGCCGAAATCAAGAGATGGACACTTAACCGACTGAGCCACCCAGGCACCCCAAACAATCAATGTTTTTAAAATGGGGAATAGATTTGAACAGACACCTCACAAAAGAAGTTCTATATATGGTTAAGAAGTACATGAAACGAGGTTGAGCATCATGAGTTATCAGGCAAATGCAAAAAAAAACTACATTGACACACCACTGTATAACCATCAGAATAAAACTAAGACAGGGGCGCCTGGGTGACTCAGTCGGTTGAGCGTCCAGACTCTTGATTCCAGCTCAGGTCATGATCTCAGAGTCATGGGATCCAGCCTCACGTCGGGCTCCGTGCTGACAGCACGGAGCCTGCTTAGGATTCTCTTTCTTCCTTTCTCTCTGCCCTTCCTCTGCTCGTGCTCTCTCTCTCTCTCAAAATAAAGTTAAAAAAAAAAAAGAATAAAATTAAAAAGATAGAGGATACCAAAAGAATGCGCCAGAAATATATGCAGGAGCTAGAGCTCTCACACATTGTGGAGGAGAACAGAGAATATGGGGGAGAACACGGAATGCGGGTGAGAACACAGAATCCAGGTGAGAACACAGAATGATACAACTACTTTGGAAAACAGCTTCTTTTGTAATTAAACATACACCTACCCTGTGGTCTAGCCATGTAACTTCTAGGCATTTATTCAAGAGCACCGGAAGCACACGGGCACACAAGCCTTGCACACAAGTATCCATAGCTGCTTTATTTGTAACAGACCCTTAACTGGAGACAAATCAAATGTCCAACCACTGGTAAATGGCGTTTGAAAAGCTGGTACGCATCCGGTGGAAGCAACAGGAACAAAGTGCTGTTACACACAGCACGGAGGGATCTCACCAGCATTCCGCTGAGTCAAAGAAGCCAGACACAAAGGGGACGCACTGTTTGATTCCATTTGTATAAAATTCCAGAAAATGCCAAGCAATCTACAGTGACAGAAAGCAGATCGATGTTTGCCTGGGGACGGGAGTGGCAAGAGCTGGGCTGCAAAGGGGCAGCAAGCCAGAGAAAAGCTCTGCGTCGTGACTGTGGTGTGGGTGGCACGGGATGAATGCACCTGTGAAGCTCCTCGCGTCGTGTACTTTAGATAGGTACTGACTGTTTCTTGTATAAAAATCACAACTCAGTAAATTAATTTTGCATCTATTATGTTAAAAAAAAAAAACATCACCTTCTGTACCCGCCCTCAAAGGCCTTGTAATCCAGAAAAGTAAAATGCAGTACAAAAAGTTGATTTTAGACCACCCTGTTCTATTCTAAGAAGCGTGGAATCAGCTGCAAAGCAAAGAAGGGTTTCTGGAGGCTTTAAAGTAAGCAAGTGCTACGATGTAGATGATGGGCATTACTAACATTCACCAAATATTTCCAGCCCTCTTTGCAGGCGTGTGGTAGTCTTTCCCCATCCCTTACAAAATGAAGTGTGGTCAAGTGACCACTTTGGCCAATGAAACGCCAGTTTAGTATAGTGAGTATGAGCCACATCCCTGTGGAAGCTTTCAGAGCAGTTTCTTACTTGACACATCCTCTCCCCCTTCTGAGATGAGAGAACATGTTGCATGGGAATTTCCAGGAGGTTCCTGAGTGGCTATCATAAGAAAAGCATCCTCCCCTCTCTCACCTCCCCACACTCTGGGGTGAATATGTAATGTAAACAGAGAGGGAAAATCTTGTTACTGGAAGCCTCTGAAATTTGGGGACTGTTTCTAACTGTTCCAAAAGCAATCGGTCTTTTCCCATACGACGTGCAATTTTAAGTGGAACTCCGACAATGTCTTAGAAGATGGGTTTCAGAGGGAACTTGCAAGGCACTGGCTAGAAGGCTACCGTAATCCATAGATGGTAAGTGCAGGAACTGGGCAGGAGCTTAGGAAAGCAGTGAAGGAATCCAGAGATGTAAAATGGAAAAGAGCTGCCAGGAGTTGATAATGACTCTGAGACTCGAAAACAACCTAAACGTCTGTTTTCGAGGTGCTGCAAAGAGAAGGTTTTTGAAACAAAAGGGATGGCTAAATGGGGAGATGAAGCAAAAAAAAAAAAAAAAAAAAAAGATTAAGGAAAGGAGGAGCTACGGCCACCTCATCGAAAGCAGAGGCACATCCCTGTACAATAAAGGCTATAGAAAGATCAGGAACTTTGGAAGAAAACAGACCTGGGTGTGAATCCTGAGGCAACTGGTTACATCACTTAAGTCGTTCATTTACCAACAGTAAAGAACGCCAAAAGGACCCCTACCCTCACGGGGCTTACACTCAAAGGGAAGGAAGTGACCACTATATATTTAAGTACCGTGTAGAAAACCCACATGATGTTGTCATTATGGAAAAGGGGCAAAATAATAACATAAGGCTTGTCAAAACGACCACTTCATTTTGTTAAAAACTTTCATCTGCCATCAACATCAAAAGTAGAGACCTCTGTATCCTTTGTACGTACAAAAAGAGCCATCCCCCACTTTCCTTCTACTTTACCACATTTTAAGAACCAACGGTGAAAAATCAAGTCCCTTCACCCCAAGAATTCTGGTTTACTGACACTACCTAGTGAGTGTACCAAACATTTTGTGTGTCTATGTGTGTCTGGGTGTGACTATTTTTTTTTTAATTGAAGTACAGTTGACACAGAATATTACATTAGTTTCAGGTATACAACACTGTACCAAAGGAGAGTGTATGTATGTGGTGGGGAGGTGAGGGATGGGTGGTAAAATCTGGCTTTTAGACAAGCCACTTCTCAAAGTTTAATGTGAGGAGGAATCAGTGGGAGACCTTGGTGAATGCAGGCTCTGATTCAATGGGTCTGGGGTAGCGCCTAGGATTCTGCATTTTTTTTTTTTTTTTTTGAGTAGGGTCCATGCCCAACACGGGGCTCGAACTCCCAACGCTGAGATCTAGAGTCACATGTTCTGCTGACTGAGCCAGCCAGGTGCCCTGAGACTCTGCATTTGTAACCAGCTCTCCAGAATGCCGAAGCTACTGCTCTCAGGATGCCAAGTAACATTGTTCTAGATGCCTTAGTAGTGGGTTGACCTCAAGGGAGCTAGTGGGGCGTGTTTGACCCTTGCCCTCTCCTACTGAGGAACTCCTACTCCTACTGAGTTGAGAAGAGCATCTCTATCTTGTGCCGCCATTTCTAATCGCGTTCACCCTACTTTCCTTTATGCGCCTGGAGAATCAGATCCCAAAATGTGCTTGTTTGGGGAAGACCCTGGACAAAGAGCTTCTAATGCCTTGCTGCACTGGATTCCTACAGCTCCTTGAGGTGGGGACCATGATTACACCCATTTTACAGAAGAGAAGACGCCATCCCAGATAGTTTAGCTCACACTAGCAGGTATGGAAAGGACTCAACATCCAGAGTCTACCCCAGAGACCAAGCTCTTAACAACTGCTTCCTCCTTACCGTGTTTACATCACAGGTTTCTTTCCTGCTCTGTTGCAGCATCAGAAGCGACTTGCAGTTGATGGCTGCCTCCCATTTCAAAGTCAACAAAGCCAAGTCTGATCTTCTTTCAAAATGACTTGGTTTCAGGAAAAGGAATTGAAATCCAAAATGGAGAAATCTTCTGGAATTAAAAGAGAGGGGATTCAGCACTAGCATTGAGGGGGATTTTTTGTTTTGATTTTTTTTTTTTTTTTTTTGTCTACGAAGTAATGTGAGTTCATAGAATATTATCATACATCTTTTGGAATTCTTGGACACTCATATTTCATCAACTGAGCACCTGATGTCCTACCTAACAAGGGTGCCAGGAGGAGGTTCCTTAAGAGCCTTCCCTGTCAATAGGGAGAAGCTACTCTGTACCACAGTGCAACATTATGTGTGCTAAAGAGTTTAATATATGTCCTTTGGATTTTTCTACAAAGAAGAGACCCTAATTCAATTCAGCTAACCAAAGTTTGCATGTAAAACAGTAGCTCTCAAACACAGTTGCACACTGGAATTCCCAGGGAATTTTATAGCACACCTGAGTCCTACCCGTGAAAGGTCTGGTGTGACTGGCTTGGGATGCATTGGGTATCAGGATTTTTAGAACTTCTTAGGAGCTTCTAATGCACAGCCACAGTTGACAATCGCTGGCATGAAAAACAGAGGGAAGACGGTAAAATTCACTCTCCAGACAAAAAAAAAAAAAAAAGGGGGGGGGGGGGAAGAGGAAATGTCTTCATCCATCCGCTGTTAGGGTTTTGCCTACGTACATGGCTACATAGGTCTAACACAATAATCAACCCTATTCTAAGTGCCAGCAAGTGGTTCCCCACAATCACTGACCAAACCACACATTTCACACTTGGCATTTGATGGCCATCTACTGCAGATGTCAGCAACACTGCCCCAAAGCAGGGGCGCTTAACATGGAGACGGAATTCAGGTGGCCTGTGAACGTATGGCAACCAAAAGCCCATGTCCCTTTTCTCTAACCTTTCCTGGAAGTTCCCCATTTCCGGCAGTGATGAATACAGGCTACAAACTACAATAGCATGGGCACTTCTTGGGAGTTTGCATCCGCTACTACTTTCACATCTTAGTTTTGCCGTCACCACTACTGGAGATTACAGTTGTTGAACGGATCTGCCGTTAGACAGAGGGGTCTTCAGTGCAACGATAAGGTTGCACCTCTGCGGCTGTGTCACCACTTTGATGCTCTGATTTGTACTCCAGTAGAAGTGATTCTGATTTAATTGTATTTTTCTGTATGTAATGACATGATTCCCAGAAGGGATCTAAATGCACCCCCCCACCCCCACCCCGGAACCAACGTGGTGAGTGGCACGTCGGTTCACTGATCTGAAGACAGGGCCCTAAGAAGCAAGACCCTGCGCGTTTGTATCCGCGTTCACGAAAGGCCCTCTCAGGTGCTCGACACCCAGGACGAAGTTGGCTCTTGGTTTTCCCCTGCGTTTCCGCAGATAAGATTTACCCTGAAAAGCCAGTTCAACGTAGCAGAGAATAGGATGGGCTTTCTCTTTCCCCTCAGCTGCCTCCTGCTCTTGGCATTCCCGAGTGCCCAGACTGCCAGGCTGGTAACTCGAGCCTCCAAATTAATCAACACACAGCGCCCAGTTCAAGCCCAGGCAGACAAGCCCGGGAGCCAGACAAGCTCTCCTCTGGTGACCCCAGGGCCCCAACCCCGCAGCCCCTCCCGCCACCCTCACAGGCCACGCTTCCTCCACTGCCTGCCCCCGCCCCGCACTCCCCAGGGCAGGTGCCCGGGGCCTGGTTGGGGGGAGCGGGGGGCTGCGGTGGCCCCGACTGGGCGATGGGCGTCTTACCTCGCGGGGGGACGCTCGCCGCGCCGGAAGCCGCCCGGTCGCAGCCCGCGCGGCGCGCACGTCCCGGTTCCGCCGCGTCCGAACCCACGCGCGACCCGGCGGCCTGGTCCCTGCGCTTTTACCGTCCGGCGCAGCGGCTGCACGTTGGCGGCGGGTGGAGAAGCGGCGAGAGGGCACCGCCGCGGGAGCCGAGAGCAGGCAGGGCCGCCCGAGTGCCGACGCCCGGCGCGCCTCCCGCTTAATCTGGGCACGGCCGCTGGCCACTCCCCCCACCCCGCTCCGCCGCCTCCCCAACGCACACCCCCAAATTCCCCACCTCCGACCCGCGCCCCCCAGGCCCCGCCCCGGCCCCAGGACCTCGGGAGCATCCTCTCCGAACCCCTTACCCTGGATCCGCGCCCACCTGCCCCGCCGCGCGCGGCCTCCGCTGCGCTCCTGGGCACGGTGCCCGGCTCGGAGGGACATTGCCTGGTGAGTTGAAGGGGAGGGGGGACGAGGGCGGGACCTGCGCCACTTCTTCCCTCCCTTGGAGCCGCAGTCAAAAGCCTCAGTGGGGAGGGACGGACGGCGCGGCTGAGCCCTGCAAAACCCGCCCCGGGCGGGCTGGCGAGGCGAGCTTCACAGCCGGGCTCTCCAACCCGCGCCGCGCGAGGGACGCGGTGGCCGCAGAGCCTGCGGGTCACTGGACACGCCGGGGCTCTGAGCCGGCGCCCACCATGCGCTCCGGGACGGCGCGGAGGCCGCCCGCGCTGCTGCTGCAGCTCCTGCTGGTGCTCCTGGCGGCGGCGCCCACGACAGGCAAGGTGAGTGCGGGGCGGCGCGACCCCCCAGCCCCGCGTTCCGGGGACGCGCGGGCCCCACCCGCGGGGCGCAGTCCTGGGAGTCCCTGCCCGGTGCGCGCGTGCCTGGGCAGGCAGCGTGGGGATGCGAGCGAGCGGGGATGCCGGGGGAAACAGGTGGAATACGCTGGAAGAAGGCTGGTTGGGAAAGGCGGGGAACAAGCTGGTCTGGTTCCCTAGGAGCCAGGGATACTGGGGGAAGTCTCCAGAGGTAGATGATAGATAAGTAGATAGATAGATAGATAGATAGATAGATAGATAGATAGATAGATAGACAGACAGACAGACGTGGGTAGATAATGGCCAGGGATGAGAACACCGGATATAGAGACATGCGATGTCACACTGGTGAATCAGAGCAGGCAGCATGGCCTGGCAGAGAGCACAGAGGGCCCCAGCCCTGACATTTCTTAGTTGTCACCTCACACTGAACTCTGACCTCTCTGGGGCTCGGTTTCCCCCTCGTTCGAACTCCCACTCCAGTGTTCTGTCAGCACTGTTGGGAAAAGCTAATGCCATCACTGAAAAGTTAGTAGCACCTTAGAAATAAAACTCATGTTAGGATGAATTAAGCAGTCTGTCACTTTGATTTTAACTCATAACTTGAGAGATCCCAGATTCACTTAAAAGCACTCCATACTTCTTATTCTTTGCAATTAAAGATGAACTGGGTGTCCTCCAAAGTGTTTTGATTCCTAGTTTGACTTACTTGATTTGAACTCGGTGGAAGTGAAATTTAACTTCTCAGATGACTTTTGTGATTTTTACACGTAAAAAGTTAATTTGGGTGTTAAGGCAGCGTCAGTGTCATTCCCATGGATGAGCAGTTTTACAATTTCATGATTGAGATTGTAATTGGAGGTCAGTAGTCACATAAATAAATGTTACCTATAAAGATCGTTAGACTCTATGACCACATGTTATCTATTTTTTCTTTTAAATTAAGACACGAGAGATGAAGCTAAAACCCTCTTTGACATCTTCATACCTCTTTCCCTCCCTGTCCAAACAAAGGTCATCCACTGACCACTTCGTGTTTCTTTGTGGACATTTTCTGTGCATTTACATACTAAACAGACTCACAAACAACATGTAATTTTATTGGTGGTTTTTAACATAACTGATATCATGCTATATGTATCCTTTTGCAACCTACAGATCTGTCCATGTTAGTATTTAGTTAATTAATTTATTTTAAGTTTATTTTGTGCGAGAGAGAGAGAGAGAGCATGAGAGGGGAGAGGGAGAGGGGTGTAGAGAGGGAGAGATAGAATATCAAGCAGGCTCCATGCTGCCAGCACAGAGCCTGACAGGGGCTCGATCTCACTAACCATGAGATCATGATCTGAGCTGAAATCAAGAGTTGGGAGCTTAACCAACTGAGCCACCCAGGCGCCCCTGTCCATGTTAGTATTTAAGATAGATTTACTTCTTTTTCTTTTTGCCCTGTTGCATGACTTTCCACAATATATGAATATGCCAAAGTTAATTGAATCATCCCCCTGTTAATTTACACTTAGGTGACTTAGTGTTTTACATTCTAAAGGATTTTGTGAGCCATGTAATCTCTTCATGTAGCTGGTTCTAACAAAAATGCACTTTGCATAGACTAGGAATGCCCAACCCAATACTTCTGAGCATGCTATAGTAATCTCATTTAAGTCAATGTAGATTGTCTACCAACTTTAATACAGGAGCAAATAAGTCCAACAAGCAAGAAACCTAAAGGGAGTATATGTTGTGGGAAGTGTATGTTGAGGCAGAGGTCCAGAGCAGGGTTTGCACATCCTTCCAGACTCCAAAGAAGAGGTGAGGTTGGGGAAGGATGGAGAAAGAGGGGTATGTAACAATCAGCCTGAAAAAGTGATGCTCTATGATCATGCAACCTCTAATTATACCAGTTTCTAATTATGTTGTCATATTCCCTTATTCTTTTTTTTACATGTAAAATTTCTGTCTTGAATTTGGCCAAATCTCGGTGATTTTCTTGCTGATACTACAATTAATTCATTTGTATTATTTTTATCATCACTTGAAGCAAGTCTTTGTTACTATTTATAAGAATTATCCTTTCCATTGCACTTGCTGAATTACATAAAAAGTGTCATTAGAAACCATGAAATGTCTGTAGAGAAAAGGAATCATAAGTTAACCAGTAACTCGTCCAAAGAGTGCCAGCCAGCAAGGCTTCCTCCACAGGATAACTCTGGCATTGGGCAGGGCACTTGACCTCTCTGAACCTCAGTTTTCTCATCTGTAAAATGAGACTGAAACCCCTGGTGAGGCCAGCAGGTGAGATAATGAGTCAGGCCATGGAGTAGGGGCCAGTCTTCAGGGCCAACCATTTGTGGGCATTCTAGACTCCAAGATCAATAATGCCAGAATCCCTGCTTTTTTTCTCAGCGGAGAAGCAGGGGCAGTTGGGGGGCGGGGGGGGGGGCGTGGTAGTGTCCAATTTCCATTAGAAATCTCTCAAAGTCTAGATGTTAGCAAATAAGTCAGAACTTTACAAAACACACCATATTTTTTGTAAAGGGCTAAATAAACTTGGGGTCAAATAATGTGTAAGTGCCAGCTAAATTGAGCCTTTGGGCCACGGTATTTATCATCTTGGTGCTACACTGGTTACAAACATCATTTTGCTCTAAATTTCTGCAATTTGATTTTAGCAGTTTCTCAAAACAGGGAGAGAGTAGCGATGTTGAGCCCACATTCTGAGTTCAGACTGGGTGGAACTGTCCACCCACACAGTTTGTTCTGAAGTGCCCTGAGTGAAAACCAGTCCCTGGCCTGTCTGTTCAGCTCATCCTCTGGTTCTACCGCCATGGCCAGGCCCAGCTCAGCAACTTGAACCTGGGAGGTACATTGCTGTTGCCTCAGGCAATAAATAGATTTAGGAGATGGGCTGGAGACAGCTCCTCCTTTGATATCTGCAGAAGGTGAGGTTCATGGTTTGAGGTATGGTTTATCGTTCTTTTTGCCTTAAAGTTCCAGACAGAGCAGAAATACAGCAAGCAAATATCAGGAGCTGAATAACAGCTACATTTAGGGAAGATGCTTTCTCAACTGGTTTCATGTTTAAATTTTAAGAATGAAGTTGAAACAAACAGAAAGTGTAACAGACACCAATTTATTCATCCCTGAGATTAGGCAAGTATTAATAGGCTTTGACCCGTTTGTTCTCAGGTCTCTCCCTTTAGGGAAAACAACATGTATATATATAAAAAGTCATCCACGTGTTCTTTGCCCCCTCTTTTGTGCACAGTTCTGTATTTATCCATTTTGTGTGTGTGTGTGTGTGTGTGTGTGTGTGTGTGTGTGTGTGTGTGTGTGTGTTAGTCACTATGAAAAATAAATGTTTTCGTTTTGTGGTCCTTCAAATGCAATAAATGGTTTCACATTCATAAGCTTGCTCCCCTCACTCCATATTAAGGTTTTGGATTTTATCCATGTTGATACATATAGATGTGATTCATGTATACACATATGGATGTGATGGTTGATGCATAGTATCCAGTTATACAAATAAAGCACAGTCTATTTTTCCATTCCCCCCAGCACAGGAAGTTGGTTTCCATGGTTTTGTTTTACAAAGTCACGACAACATAACTGCTCCGTGTAGGTACCATTGTGACAACTAGATTTGGAATTCCTAGGTAGAATTCAAAGGGAAAGCATACTTTAAGTTGCATGAGGAATTGCCAAACAGACTCCAAAATGGTGGAGCCAATAATGTGCCAGAGTATCTGCTTCCCTACATCCTCAGCAAAACTTGATGTGTTTCGATGTTAGTGAGTATGAATAGGATCTTGTTTTGACCAGGGAGCTCGTGTATCTTTTCATGTTTTCGTTGGTGGTTTTTATGTACCTCGGGGTGAACTGCATGGACATCTCTTTGCCTACTGATCTGTTGTGGCCTTGCTCTTTTTCCTCGCTAATAACTAGGAGTCATTTCTATATTTTGGATGCCACACTTTTGCCATTTAAATGTGCAGCAAGTATGTTATTCCAGTGTCTCATTTATCTTAAATTTAGCTACTGGTGGCTGAACATAGAACTTTGTTTTTTCCTCTACAATCTCAAACTTCCCATTTTTCCTTGATGTTTTGTGTTTTGCGTCTCATTAAAGTAATCCTTTTCTTCCCTGGGATTATTAAAATGTTCTCTTATGTCAAGAAAAAGTTTTGTAATGTAACTCCTTTGTATTTAGGACTCTTAATCCTGGAATTGTTTTTCTACTTGAGGAATATGATTTTATCTTTTTCCATATATATGATAAATTGTGCCAACATTATTTATTGAACAGTCCGTTCTTTCCCCCCCCACCCCTGCTTTGCAGTGTTACATCTGCAAACGTGTACCAAGCACTCATTCATATAGGAGTCTGTTTATATTCATTCATTGGTCTGTTTTTTCAGGGCTTTAACTTCTCACTATGTTTTCAAGTTTTCTGTTTCTTGAATTTCTAAGTATTTGATATTTTTAGTGCTATTGTCAATGTGTTTTTCCCCAAAATTTAATAGCCTAACTATCAAAGATACAGCAAACATGGTTGAATTTTTATTTTGACTTTATTTTTATTGTTTTTTAACATTTATTTATTACTGAGAGACAGAGAGACACAGAGCATGAGCAGGGGAGGGGCCAAGAGATGGAGAGACACAGAATCTGAAGCAGGCTTAAGGCTCTGAGCTGTCAGCACAGAGCCCAATACGGGGCTCGAACTCACAAACTGCGAGATCATGACCTGAGCCGAAGTCGGACACTCAACTGACTGAGCCACCCAGCTGCCCCTGTATTTTGACTTTAATCAAGCAACTCTGAATAGTCCAAATGCATTTAAGGCTAATGACCTTCCCCCCAAATACTGCTTTTACTGCATCACACACATTTTAGTAAGTGGTATTTCAATATAACTAAATTCAGAATCCTTTCTAATTGATTTATTTGTCCTATGGGTTATTTAAATCCTTATTTCTTAATTTCCAAACAGAGGGAGATTTTCTAGTTAATCTTATTTTTTAATTAAATTGTGATGGAAATGATATTCTGACTTAAAGATACACACACACACACACACACACACACACACACACATATTTACCAATTAGGTCAAGATTTTTTAGTCATGTTATTATTTATTTTTTTTTTCAACATTTATTTATTTTTGGGACAGAGAGAGACAGAGCATGAACGGGCAAGGGGCAGAGAGAGAGGGAGACACAGAATCAGAAACAGGCTCCAGGCTCCAAGCCATCAGCTCAGAGCCTGACGCGGGGCTCGAACTCACGGACCGCGAGATTGTGACCTGGCTGAAGTCGGACGCTTAACCGACTGCGCCACCCAGGCGCCCCTAGTCATGTTATTAAACTTGTATGTGCACATTTGTTTCTTATGTATCCTACTCAGTGCATATTTAATCTGAGAGTCTATAGTTTTCATCAAATCTCAGATATTCCTGATTTACATTTCTCCTTCCCCACTCTCTCTACTCCTGGCATTCGTAGGATGCATCCTGGACCTTCTCATCTTTTTTCCATTCCTCCTAACTCCTTATAAGACATACCTTTCATATGCCACTTGGGTCCTCTGGGTCCCACCTTGCTCCTGGTCTGTGGGCACTGACTTTCCCCAGTTGCCAGCTTGGCCACAGACTTTGTACCTGGAACAGCCTAATGGTTCCTCTAGACTCTACTCATGGCTCCCTGTTGGACCTTAGGGGTATAGGGTATTAACACCTGTGGGCAAATCTTTGACCAGTGGGTGATGGGAGCCACTGGATAAATTCTCTCCCCCCCGCCCCTGCCACCGAAGAACTGTTCTGAACTGCGGAGGTTACCCCAGACTGTCCACGAGACCAGTTATCAGCTGGACTTGAGACCAACTTGGAACATTCTCAGCTTCTGCCTCAAGGGCTTCGTCCCCTGCGCTGCCCCCTGTGAATCCTCCCCACACCTCTTTCAATTTTTAATCCTCTCTTCTGCTGTTTGGGAATTTCAGTAGATTGATTTTTCAATCTATTGTAATTTTCAGTGATAAAAAAAAACAACAGCCTCTGGATGGAACCGTTTGACATGGTTTATAACCCCAGATCTATTAATTATCAGCTTTTAAATTTTTGTCTCAACTTCTTTATTTTAAAATGGAAGTAAGAGACTCACTTCAGGATTTTATGAGGGTTCAGTGATTTAATATTCATGATACATACTTCACTATATCTGTCACATAGTAATCGTTCAATAAACGTTAACCATGACTATGTTCATTCATTAAATTTTAATTTCAATGACAGTTCCAGAAGTCCTTTCTGAAGTCTAAATCTCTTTGGGCCTTGGGATTTTTTTTTGTCTTTTCTTGTAGATTTTCCCCCATTTTTATGCCCTCATTCATTTTACACATACTCATTTCATACTCAATACTTTCTGATTCTTTTTCAATGATTTCATTAAAATCAGGTCTGGGCCTGTCCTGTTTCTTCTGTGTCTATCGGTGATCACCCATGGGGAGACAATGTGAATGAGAAGTTTGGGGGAAATAAAAGCTTCCTCTGTCATCATTCAGCCCACACCACCCCCTCCATTTCACCTCATTGCTCACAGATTGGAGCTGTTCTGTCCTGGGATTAAAAAAACAACAAAGTAGTTCTGTGGCTCCCAGGAGAATTGTTTCCCATTAGAATAGACTTATTTAGTAATGGTTTGGGAGGATGGGGGCACCAAACATGTTTCCTTTCGTGTTCTCAGGACCACCCTCCTCTAGGCCCTCCCACTGCCTGCTTCCTCCATACATTCTGACTTCCACTAGATGAGTGGGGGTCAAGGCCAACAACAGCAAAGCCACCAGCTTCCTCTCTCAGCTGCCTCTCCCTCTCTGAGGAGATTTTTCCTTCTTGAGCTTTTCTCTGGGGTTGTAGTAGCTAGTTTGTTTTCAGGCATGATCCCTAGTAAAACTGTGAATTAAATGAAATCTGTCTTTGCCTTTCCCTTATAATTTCTGCCCTGTTACGGAGAGCACAGTAATAACTGCCTTGTGTTAACTCTGAGCAAAGTTAACCTTGTTAAATATTGCAATTGATGAAAAAACCCTCAAACCTCTCAGTGTACGATTCCAACAGGGCCGTCTGGTTTGCAAATGCCCTGTGGTCCTTCATCATGTGCATTTAACCATGGAGTAAAAGAGTTTTTCCAAGATCAGTAAAAACACATGGTGCTCAGAGCATTTTTGTTCTACAAAGTTTGTATCTGGTCTCAGCCTAAACTTTTTTTTTTTTTAATTTTTTTTTTCAACGTTTTTATTTATTTTTGGGACAGAGAGAGACAGAGCATGAACGGGGGAGGGGCAGAGAGAGAGGGAGACACAGAATCGGAAACAGGCTCCAGGCTCTGAGCCATCAGCCCAGAGCCTGACGCGGGGCTCGAACTCACCGACCGCGAGATCCTGACCTGGCTGAAGTCGGACACTTAACCGACTGCGCCACCCAGGCGCCCCAGCCTAAACTTTTTAATCATAACAGCCTTGCACTATAGATTATTTGTTTCACTGCCATTTTCAGTTTCCGAAAATAAGAAAACTGAGATCATATCAACTTTTTAACAGAGTAGACATCTTCCCTATCAGCCCAACCACCATGGCCTTGGCCAGTTGCTTAATCCCTCTGAGTTATCTTCATCTCTAAAAATCAGATGAGAAAGACTCTTACTCCAAGTTCTATGTTTATCTCACAAGATCCCATTGCTGGCTCTTGTCTTCTTGAAACTCCCATGGCCGTCTTTCCATCCCTCTTGGGGTTCCTTCTTCAACTGCCAGTTAAGGCCTCTGGCTTCAGAAGTATTTTCTAGCGAAGAGTGAATTAAAGTATATTGGCTGTATAGTTGTCCACTTTACATACTTTCCTAAGCTCAGATAAGTAAGCATCAGTGTTCGTCTCATGCAATAGAAATGTGACGTGAGCCACAGCTATGAGCCACATACGTTATTTTAAGTTTTTCAGTAGCCACATTAAAAAAGTAAGAAGAAACATAAAATTAATTTCAGTATATTTCACTTTTCCCCATGCATTCATAATTTTATAATTTCAACATGTAATCACTGTTAGAAACACTAGTACATGTTTTACGGTCTTTTTTTTCATATTAAGTTTTCAAAACCTAGTGTCTGTTTTGCATTTCCAGAACATCTTAATTCAGAGTATCTACGTTACATTTCAAATGTCCGTAGCCACATGCAGCCACCATCTTTGATAGCACAGATCCACATACGTGGTGTCCAGATACGAGAGGGAGAGCCAGTCCATAAGGCCATATCTCTGAATGGAACACATTTTGTATGCTTGTTTGCCATAAGAAATAAGCTCACGGCAAGGGGTGCTTGGGTGGCTCAGATGGTTGAGCATCCAACTCTTGATTTCGGCTCAGGTCATGATCTTCTGGTTCGTGAGTTCAAGCCCGTGGCAGGCTCTGCAGTGACAGTATGGAGCCTGCTTGCGATTCTCACTCTCCCTCTCTTTCTCTGCCCCTAGCCCACTTGTTCTCTCTCTCTCTCTCTCTCTCTCTCTCTCTCTCTCACTCTCTCTCTCTCTCTCTCTCTCAGATTAAATAAATAAACTTAAAAAAAAAAAAGAAGTCAACACACATTAAAATGACAAACTTCAATTAAAGACAGTAGGTCAGCATGGATTGTACCTAACTATCTGTACAACTTTTTCTCCAGAAAATCAAGGTAGTCGACCTTGGCTATCACGCTTAAAGCTGCACAAATTACCACTTGTACATATTTGTGTGGGGTTTTTTTTTGTTTTTGTTTTTTATTTTCAATATATGAAATTTGTTGTCAAATTGGTTTCCATACAACACCCAGTGCTCATCCCAAAAGGTGCCTTCCTCAATACCCATCACCCACCCTCCCCTCCCTCCCACCCCCCATCAACCCTCAGTTTGTTTTCAGTTTTTAAGAGTCTCTTATGCTTTGTCTCTCTCTCACTCTAACCTCTTTTTTTTTTTTCCTTCCCCTCCCCCATGGGTTTCTGTTAAGTTTCTCAGTATCCACATAAGAGTGAAAACATATGGTATCTGTCTTTCTCTGTATGGCTTATTTCACTTAGCATCACACTCTCCAGTTCCATCCAGGTTGCTACAAAGGGCCATATTTCATTCTTTCTCATTGCCACGTAGTACTCCATTGTGTATATAAACCACTTGTACATATTCGATGATATTGTGCCATTATCAAAATATGAGTAAGGTGTGTACATGAAGAGTTGAAAACACATCACAAAACAGTGAACATTTGGCAACAGGAAAGGAGAAAAGGAGACATACATTGGAAACCAACATGCCACATCTTGCCTATCAGCTTAAGCTCTAAACTAACTTGCCGCTACAACTTAGCCAAGTAAGAGGTTTAGTGTTCCCTTAAACCAGTCACTCCCAAAAGGATCGCTGTTTTTCTTATCTAAAAATGGTGGTACTATATCTCTTGCAAATAAAGTATTCAACATGATGCCCAGCTTCTATAGTCTAGCTACGATTATATTATTATTATTATTATTATTAAGATCAGGAACAAGATAATAGGACAGAGACATCGGCATGTGACCCAGGTCCTGGCAACTCAATGATAAACAAACTGCATTCCTGGCCACGGTGGGATAGAGTGTCCAGGGGAACAGGGGAGAGAGACAACAGGCCTATAAACAAACATATAGCTCTAGATTGTGGTACCTGCTAGGAGAGAATAGGATGTGGTGATGGAGAAGGGGAGCATTTACCTTAGCTAGGGGTCAATGGGGAAAACCTTTCCAAGGCACTGGCTCACGTAACCCATGAGCCTTCCATGGGGACTCGGGAATGTGGGAAGTGCTGGGGAATGTGGTCCAGGCCAGGGCTCTCAACAGTGGAGAGAGGCGAGATGCTTCTAATTGTATGGCTCCTGGGCTGTCAAAGAATAAAACCAAGACTAAAGGAACTTCTACAAAAAGAAGAAGAAAATCCCTGAGTTAATTTACTCACCATGATGGAATACAGATTCTGGGTATTTTGCTAGAGATGGGGCAAGGGATGGGAAACAGGGAGTTAGAGGGGCAGGGGCAGGATGGTTGTGCTAATTAAGGATGGGAGATTGCTCCCTAGATAAGGTGGAATAAGTCCACAGGACTATAATTTTAATGTTTGCACTTAACCAATATAATTATAATAATAATTATAATAACTGTATTAATAATAATTATTATTAATATATAATATATTATAATAATATATTAATATTGTAATTATATTATAATATTGTAATATTTTATTATATTATTACATAATTATAATAATATATAATAATTATAATAATAATGTTTGCACCCAACCAATTCATATTTTAACAAAGAGGCCATGTAGTATGTTTATGCTATTCACAAGACAGTCGCATTAGTAATGGATGAGTGATGAATTCACACTGCAACTTGGTGATGGGCCCACGTGTAAAGTGAGGTGCTGAAAATGTTCTTTCATTCCTGTTGACGTGTCTGTGTCATCCTCTCTCCTCCGCCTCCCTGGGGCACGTTTGAATTTGCCAAATGTGGCTGTGAGGCCCAGGGCAAGAAGGTAAAGCTGGGCCAAAGAGCCCTTGTCCCAGCTGACATAGGTTCGGGCCAGAGAGGGCTCTAGCCAGGGAAGAATGAAACCCAGGTTAAGGACCTGCCAGCCGGAGGTGAAGACCCCCAGGTCACTCACAGGACCCACAGCACCAGCTTCCCCTCCTGGTGTCTAGAAAGGCAGACTGTCATGTCGGCCCCTCCCCCACCCACCCCAACTGAAATCTGCATATTAATCAGCTCCACAAGGGATTCCTGGGTCCGGTATTGTCTGGGAACTGTGCCAGCCTTGGTAAGGATCCTGGAGGGTCCCTCAAGATGGGATGGGATGGTACTGGAGAGTTTCAAAAGAACTGTGACACGATCTCTATTTTAAAGACTTGTATGACTGTCACATGGAAGAGGTTGACTGTTCTCTTGGGAACCTAGCCTACATAAAGAAGAGGTGACAAAGCAGGATGCAAGTCTTGTTGTTGGTACTTTTTCTCTGGATTCTGGTACCTTGGCAGTCAGAAAGGGACTGGAGAACCAGTCTAGATCGACAGAGCAGTTGTTTAATCCATCCCTGTTAATTGATTCAGTGCAAGTAATTCGATACTCATTTATGTGCACAGAGAGGAAGGTTAAAAATCCAGTCTGATGTCCTGTACATACAATATCAGGCTATCAAAACAATGTTTCCACATATCATTGTAGGTAGTATATATGTGTGTGTGCATATGCACATATAAAGTATACGTTTAAAGAGTATTTGACATTCTCAGTATTTTGGTATTATTGCAATGAGATAATAGTTTTTAAAAAGTATAAGCCTCAGACCTATTTAAAAATGTAATGGTATAAAGATCTGTTATTTTTCTGACAGTTTTGGGGTAAGTTAGGAATTTTCCATTTTTAATCTTTAAGATTGATGTTGGTTAATTAGATTGTATCTCCAAATTCGTTTCTTAGAGAAGTGATCCCAGTGTTTAAAAATGAGTTCAAGTGTATTTAGAAAACTTGGGAAGATTTGTCATTATGTAGATAAAACAGGTCACTGGATTTTTTTTCCCGCCAGGATATTTTGTTGTTACATGAACTTCTCAAGGAAAATTTCTACAAGCGGAAGTTGAGAAATTTGCAGTATTTTCCCTCGAATCAAATGTCAAAGCATATCTGGAGAGACCCAAAACAACAAGGTTAATATTAATTCTCTTTGTTTAACCAGATGATAGGATAATTTTATCCTGTTTATTTGTGTATAATATCAGGAAAGCTGAAGCATTCACATGCTGGCTTTAAAAAAATTTTATGTGTTGTTCAAAACTTGGCCAGTGTTTAAAAGTACCAAAAGAAATGTAAAAATGAAAATTACCCATAATCATATTAGCCACAGATGATTACTGATAACATTTTGGTCTTTCTCTACCAAATTATTTTTTTATTCTACTCTTTTCACCCAACAATGGGCTGGTGAAAATTTTATGAGTTATTAATTATTACAAGTATCATCTCTAGATGTCTACAGAGCACTTCATTGTAGGTTAGCACCAATAACTTACTTAGGTAATATCTTTCTATTGAATTTTTGTGATTATTTCCAGTTGTTTAGACATAAAGCTGCCATGGAAACTCCTTGAAGACAAACATTTTCTAAGATCATACTTTAAATAATTTTCTGTGTAGATGCTTTCTTATGAAAGGTCTGGTTTTGTGCATTTCTGAGTAAGATGGAAAGGTAGTATCATTCATGATTTACAGGTAAGGGTCTGACCCAAGAGAACTCATCAAATTAATGAAGGAAGTAGGTTTAGACTTGGGACCAGTCAGTTAAGCATCCAACTCTTGATCTAGGCTCAGGTCACGATCTCACGGTTTGTGTGTTTGAGTCCGGCATCAGGCTCTACACTGACAGCATGGAGCCAGCTTAGGATTCTCTGTCTCCTGTCTCCCTCTCTGTCTCTGCCCCTACCCCATTTGTGGCATCTCTCTCTCTCTCTCTCTCTCTCTCTCTCTCTCTCTCTCTCTCTCTCTGTTTCTCAAAAATAAATAAATCAACTTGGAAAAAATATAGCTTTAGAATTGGGAGTTCTGGTTATTTGGGTTCTTTAGTAGGACTCTTTCTTGCCAAAACCATCTCAGATGATTGAAAAGGAGTGTCAGGTGTCACTTTATTCATTATTTAAATAGCAAAGCACTATTTGCGATAAGATGATTTTTTAAATGCTTCAGTTATTCGGAAAGAACTGAATTCAGAAACTATACCCTTTTACAATCAAAACATCAATGAAATACTTTTACTTACTGAGATATTCTTCATCTCTGCAATCTGGAAAGAGCTCTACCTATTTCCATGTTGCTTCCCCTACTGATCTCCTGGAAGACATGTGTTATGTCTTATTTATGACACAGACAGCTCCAACTCTTGGCAGGACCATTGGTATAAGTAGTCCCCAGTGAATGTTTTTGGAACGGGGCCAACATTGTATTTTAAACACTAAAACTAAAAAGGCAATAAAGAATTAGTAGATTCTTAAATTCTTTGACACAAGAATAAAAATAAAGCATTTATTTTCCAGGTGAAATGTTGAATGCACCATTCATTAATTCAGCTGGATGCTGGGACCAAAGGTAGATAAAACCCACATGGTCCCTCCTGCCCTCATGGAGTATGCCACCGAATGAGGGCTTTAGATAAGGACACAGACAATAACAAGAAAATTAGATATGCTCTCACAGGGCAAATACGGAAAAGCAAAATTTGAGTGGAGTTGAGAGGAAGAATAAAGATCAGTTAAATGTACGAAAAAGTGAACACGTGGGCTTTATGGTGTAACAGCAATAAATTGTGGAACGACAATGGGGCCAGGAAGTGGTAAGTTTCCAGTGGCTTGAAAACACAGCTTATCTTCAAAGTAAAGTACTTAAGGAGCGCCTGGGTGGCTCAGTGGGTTAAGCGACCGACTTCAGCTCAGGTCATGATCTCACAGTTTGTGAGTTCAAGCCCCATTGGGCTCTGTGCTGACGACAGCTCAGAGCCTGGAGCCTGCTTCCCAGATTCTGTGTCTCCCTCTCTCTCTGCCCCTCCTCCGCTCACGCCCTTGTCTCTCTGTCTCAAAAATAAATAAAACATTTTAAAAAACAACAACAACAACAAAAACAAAGTAAAGTACTTAAAACTGTGGGGAGTGCGGAAAGCAGCACGTACAGTTACTGATAATACTTCAGTCAGCTTCCAGCCTCCACCCCTTCTGGAGCCCACATCAGCATTTAGATAGCGGTGCTCCATACGATACACACATGAACGGGATTTGTGTTCTTTTCCCATGTTAGGCAAAAGCATTCCTGCAAACCCTTCCCGGTTGTGAAAAAAAAAACAAACCCTAAGAACAGTCCTGTATCTGAAATCTCATCAGGTAAGTTTCCTACCGATTGCAAGCCAGCATACAGGCCCATGCAGGCGTCAACACTCTCTAAGGTCGCACATACACTGGAGAAGACCAACGGGCAGATTTATCGAGCTCTGCGGGTGCCTGTGCTGTGCCCATGGACCTTCAGAGCTTCTACCCGCTGTGACCTGCTCAGGCCTTTCAGAGACAGAGCGTTCAGAGCCCACGTGACCTGAAGGAGCAGCATCCCCAGCCCCCAGGAGAGCAGTCATAGAGGCAAGGACATCTTGGGACACCCTGCCATCCTAGAGAGATCGCGCAAGACAGCAGTATGCCCTTCCCCCCATCCTGTGCCGGAAAAAAGTCACTGTTGCGACAGTTTGGGGCAAGCCACTTGCATTCCAAGACTCTCCATTTCCTCAATCATAAAATGTGGTAGATAAAGCCTATCCCTCCTCTCTCCAGAAATAATATAATTGAACACATTTTGCATTGTACAAGTGCCAAGTAGTATTGAGACAGGAATGAGCTTCAATATCAGCAAAGCAATAGTCCAAATGTTTCTGATACTCATTTAATTCTCCTGTTATTTTGTGACTCAGTATCAACTTCCTGGAATGTATTAAGGAGTTTCTTCTTTTCAAAAATATTATTCAGTGCATTCTTTGCTGCTGGTATTTTCTAATAACATTATTTGGAAACATCAGCAGAAATGGCATCCTCCCTCAGCACTGTCCCCATTAAAAAATGAACAGTTTGTTTCCCTTACGCCGCCCCATGTAAATACTGATGCAAAACTCATCCAATGATTTCATCGCTTTTACGGTCACCTGCCAAATACCTCACCTAAAATACCTGTTAATTAGAGAGAGAGTTCTGGGCAACACTTAATAGTAATCATTTGGTCCTTTCTTTTCTTTCAAATATAGGCTTTTTGGCATGTGTTTTTAAGAGAAGCCATGAGCCAGCTCTGGTACACAGCCTCCCTCAGATTCCACTAATGTGTAATCGGCAGCAACAGGGTCGGAAGTGCAAATTCGCTTGGTGCACATTCACTGAGCACCTACCTTTAATATATCCTTTATTTTTTGTATTTAAAAAAATTTTGTTTTAATGTTCATTTATTTTTGAGAGAGAGAGAGACAGTGCAAACAGGGGAGGGGGCAGAGAGAGAGAGGGAGATACAGAATCTGAAGCAGGCTCCAGGCTCTGAGCTGTCAGCACAGAGCCAGATGCAGGGCCCGAACCCACAAGCCGGGAGGTCGTGACCTGAACCAAAGTTGGATGCTTAACCACTGAGCCATCCAGGCGCCCTTCCAAATTTCCTTTAAACAGGAAGGCTCCTTGGGAAGTTTATGATAATGAAGCCACTGGAACTAATGATTGGACTAACTGAACAAAAATATTTTTTCTATGCTGATCTTTTTTTCCTAACAATAAAAGTAATACATGCTCATTTGTGAACATTCAAGATATATAGAAAAGTATATATGTTTTTTTTATTTTTTTAATGTTTATTTATTTTTGAGAGAGAGAGAGAGAGAGAGCGCGCGCGCGTGCGCGCGCACGCGCTTGAGCGGGGGAGGGGCACAGAGAGAGGGAGACACAGAATCCAAAGCAGGCTCCAGGCTCTGAGCTGTCAGCACAGAGCCTGACGCGGGGCTTGAACTCACAGACCACAAGATCATGACCTGAGCTGAAGTCGGACGCCCAACCGACAGCCACCCAGGCGCCCCTAGAGAAGTATGTTTTTAAAAAGCACTCGTAGTAAAAGAACCTAAGGGGACCCAGTGTTAATATTGTGTCATATTTGTGTAAAAATGAGATCATATGGTATAAGGCATTTTGTATCCTGCTTTTTTGACATTATATTATTTCATTTAACATCTTTTGACAACAATTACATACTGTTACATCATGTTTATATACCAAGTTTAGGTTTATTTAACCTAAATTTTTGATATAATAAACAAAGCTATGGTGAATTCTTGCCCTCATATCTTTTTGTAATAGACTTATATAGTAAAATTATTAATTAGCTCAGCTGGTATTTTTTTCTTTTCTTTTCTTTTCTTTTTTTTTTTTTTTTTACCACAGATTCTACTTGTCAAATGACAGAAACAGTTTTAATACCAGTAAGCAAAAAGAAAGCAAAATCATGCCAAATCCTATCATGGAAATATAACTAGAGATAAAATTTCAATATATATTCTATTGTCTTTTTTTTTTTTTGCTTAATCCAGAATATGATTTGATGTATGATATGAGCCAAGGAGCTAATTTTTTTTTAATTTCTCAAATTAGTTAATTTTGCCAACATTATGTTTATGATAATCTACCCATTCCCACATTGACTTCTAGTGATCTCACCTCTGGTCAAAAATGAACCAAAAGAGTATCTTGGCTAGAGCCAGGGGTTTCTTGGGACACAGAGCTGAAGATGAGATGCATGGCTCCTGGCCACAAATAAAATATGGGTTTTGCCAGTTATTTTCTTTGTTATAGACCTAGAGTCAGTCTTGCATTAGATAGATTTAAAGACTCTTGCCTCAACCCGCTCACCATTTCACAGTGCCCCTTCATCCCTCACCCTTAGCTCTAAATCTGGAAGGAGATAGGCTCAAAGACCCCCGCTAGTCATTACCATAGGGCATCTCATTGGTTTTAGACGATTCCAGGCATTTGGAGAAAACGAGCCATTTCCAATCCATTGGCTAAGGAGCAAGATTCTCTCTCTCTCCAAATACCACTCCTTCTACCTCATCTCCTCTTGCTTCCCTCGCCCATTTTTATGACCTTCCCACAGGTGACAGTTGGGCTTAGGATCTCTTGGACTTTTCTCTAGGTTTCTTGAAGGCCAATCTGCCTTGAACCATGCATCGGAATGAAACTAAATTGATTTCCTTATATCAAGTTGAGCAGTAGCTTGGTAAGCACGATAGTACAACCTCAGTAGATTGTATAATGACTGCATTCTAATCTCAGAAGCAAATGCAGTTGCAGGGGAAAAAAATCAAATGGAGATAAAGAAAAGACCTTAAGACTCCACGATTTTGTAAAGGAGGAAAATGTTGAAGATTTTGACCTACACCCGTTGAAACAAAATATCACCTGGACCCGTTTTGAACCTCATCATACATATGACTCCTAAACTTTTTATGTAATCAGGTTAGCACGAATGCAAAGCGTTTAACATGTTCCGATGCAAAACCAGAAGACGAATTCCAATTATTCTTAACATCCGCCCACTAACATACCGTAAATGATTTACTTGGGAATCTATTGCAATAAAGTTCACCTTCAGAAAGTGGCAGTCAGAAAAGCTTCACGAAAACCAGACTTGTTTTCACGTCGAAACTGCTGTGCTTTTTCATTTGGAGAAATCACTGACTTGCTCTAAATAGAGTGGGCTCTTTGTTGTTGTTATTATAAGCTTTCCTTGGCCTAGAATTTTCCTGTTTATTCACTATGAGGAAGAGCGTGCTTTGTGTTTCTAACATTGGAGTGGTGGTTCCTAACTCTGTAGGCGTATTGAAGGTAGTGATGTTCATCATAATCACCACAATGAGCTGTGACCCCCGAAGAGGTGATCTCCAGTGGTCTGTATCTGGGGCTTTCCGGAGAAGTACAACTGGGCACAGCTGTGCATTAGAATAAATTAAGGGCTTCTTAATTACATTCATATTTTCTCCCTGAACTCTTAAGTGCATCATTTCTCACCATTTTTGCCATGAGGACCCTTTGCCCCTGCAAAACTTTTTAACAGAGACAAACATATTTGAGAGGATAGTTAGAAAGTCAGTCTTTACGTAACTCATGCCACCCACAGCCAGCTGCGTGGCCCTGGCTGAGTTGGTGAACTTTGTTTCCCTTATTTGTAAAAGGGGGACAACAGGATAGACCTGTGGGTTTATATATATGATAACAATTACGTACAATGGTGTCTCTAAATGCTTAGCAGTGTGCCTAGCACGTTAGACGCTCAGTAGGTATTTGTGGTGGTGAAGGGTGATATTTGGCAGCCGTTTGACCAAACCTTCATCTGGCTTCTACCTACCGGAACCTACCAGTCAAAAGTCTTTACCCTTTGCTTTACAGTCTCTTGCTGTACAACTGAGAGATCAGTCGGGCTATTCATTTTTTAATATGAGACTCTGATGATATCACAAAGTCTTTGCTTTAATTTTTTATTCCAGTTTAACAACAGGAACAAATATAAATGACGTTGTATTCGCAGACATTGGATTTTTGAAAGATTTGACTTTTGAACGTACGTGAAGTAATTTCTGTGTAAATAGATTCTTGAGTGTTATGCATTTTCCGAAGGAAATAGAGTGGTTCTGTTTGTTTGCTTACTTGCTTTGCCATTTTTTAAAAAGATTTGGAAGTACATATATAAACATCTTGAATTGTGCTGTTTAAAATAAGCATTTGGGGCCAAAGAGCCCGGGATAACAGTGACCAGCCTAAGAACAGGGTGAATCTGGGGAATTTCTGAGAACCTGGTGGCCCAGGAACATCTGAATATTCCAAGCAGAGACCAGACCAAAGTAGTGGGTGGGAATAAGGGCAACACAGATCAGAAGGCTCATTGGAATTCATCTGACTTCAGAGTTTAGGTCAAGCCAGGTAGAGAGAGGATTGACTCGAACTTGGTGGTTATCAAACTTGGCCAGAAGAACCTAAACAAAGGGGAGACAGTGTGTCTAAGGTCAGTGGGGGGGGGGGGCAGATGGAAACCAGGTGACACGAGAAATCAGAGTGTAGTGACATCTGCTCTTTTTTCCTGACCTCTCTCCTGTCCCCCTCTGGTGGTGGCATGTCGATTTTACTTGAGGGAGCTATCATCCCCTCATTGCCAAGGGCGTGGGCACATGACCTCAGCTGAGCCAGTAAGTGCCCTCCCCCAGGAATTCGGATCTTCAACTGAAAACGCAAGGAGCTTATTCATCCTGACAGCAGTGCCCCGAAAAACTTTCCGTTCGTTTTTGTACCTTGATCCCCACAACGGCCCTGAGGCTGGTCTTTTCTGAGTCCTGTTTATTTAACTTTTCTTCAACTTCTGTGTGCTGCCCCATGTCATTCCAGCAAATTCCTCTTTTATCATTGAGTTAGCCTAAATAATTTCTGTTGCTTGCCACCAAAGAACCCTGGCAAGGGTTCAGGAATCCAGACAACAGTCTGGCCAGCAGAACTGGTGGGTCAGCAACCTTCTCCCCTGGCCAAGAAGCCTCTTATATTAACATGTGAGGAGAGAGTTACCCTCAGGAGCAACAAATGCAGGCCAGCAAGTGCACATGGGTGAACTCTTGCTAGGAAACTGATCTGGCAGTTGCCCAAGATGGACTGGGGGAATGTGAGAACTGAGTTACTGGTTAATCATTGCTTATCACCAAACTATGAGGCACTTTCTGTTTTGAATGCATCTAGTATGAGTGCCAGCCCAGGTAAAATCAGTGTTGACTCAATCAATCTATTAAAAAAAGTGGAAACTATTGAAATGTCTCTTCCCAGAAGATGTTACTTGGAATAACACCTTGACTTAGACCCTCATCAAAGTAACCTTCCTTGCCAGCTTGGTTTCAGCCCTCTGCCTTGCTGATCCAGGCCCCTTGAGCAGTTATGGTCCTTGCCTTTTGTACCAAGAAGGATCCGGTCAAAATTTTTGCTGCACGCTGTCCTTTGGTATTCATTTCTAAGTCTATTGTCATGAAATATGTCTTTGCACTTTGCAAGGCATGCCTTTTCTTCAGCAGCAAATTATTTTCTTTAGCTGCTTCAAATAATTTAATCTGAACACATTTGGAGGTCATACACAGCACCAAACAAACCAAATAAAGCGTTTGAAGTATATGAAAAAAACCTAACCCCGTTTTTTTCATCACGCACATTTTGGAAAAATTCTCTACACACGGGCATACACATTCTTGACCCTTATGCCGCCTGGCTGTTCCATTGGACTTTTGACATCAGGTTGAATTTGTTTTTTAGAAGTGGATTCGGCCAACCAAATTGTAAAAAAAAAAATCAAAAGCTTCTGGCCAAGTGCAAGGTTTAGTTGATTACTGATTAAATGGAGAATGGGTAGCTCGAGGTGAATTGCCCCAGGGCTCTCAGCGATTAGCCCAGGTGGTTAGCACTTGGTACTACTAGTCAGTGTACAAAGATCACGTAACATCTCCATATGGCCTGGTTGACCTCTGGCTGTCTGAGAAAAAGTGGCGTTTGCTCTTGTGCGTATGGCGAAACGGTCACTGCTGCTCGGGGAGGAATATAAATGTAACTCGAAGATGGTGTGTTCACCTTCGAATATAAAAAAGGATGTATTATATTTCATTTGTCAGACGGTGCACCCGTTTTCCCCCATTCCCATCATCATATTACTGTCTTTACCTTTTATGCGTATTTGGCCCTCTTGAGACCAGAGGGTGAGGCCCTGCTCCATGGGTACTTACGGTCCCCACAGAAGAGGGTGAATATTCCCCCATCACTAGCCAGGGAAGAAGTACAAAGGAAAGTGAAATTCAGAAAGAAAGCCTTAGGCCAGTTCTCATCGTTTAGTCTGTGCAATAGTCCTCTGTGGCGCTTATTTTAAAGGGCAGGTTTCCTGGCAAAATCCTCATGCTGTGGCCTGGGAATCTGCACTCGTCACATCTCAGATGATTCCTGGTTTTATTAGGGAGCAAGCAGGTTCCCCTATTTGTAGATTTTAATATAATTGATATACCATGCGGGGAGTGTAGACCATCCATTTTTGAGAGGTATTCTATGAGATAAAATATCCTCGCTTCAAGACACAAATGAAGAATCATAAAGCTTCCCTTCCTAATTGTTTGTCATACCTCAACTTTGAGAATCATATTAATATTTGCCTTACAGATTCACTTTGCCACACCTCATGTTAATTATTCAGTTATGTTTTGGACAGTGTGAAATATACGTGAATCTATGTAACAAGTTGTGTAATAATTAGACTTGTGTGAAGGTTGAATAAAAATACAATTAATTTCATTGGAAATAAAAGCTAGTGTTTGGTCATCAGTATAATTCACTATAGAAAACAGATGCATCTTAGAAAAGGCCCTAGGCAAGCATTTTTTCAAAAATCAAACTGTAGATAACTTACATCTTCAAAGACATTTTGAACCCATCAAGAAATAAGCATTTAAGAATCAGCCCTATATTTAGTACTTACTGTAAACACACTTGGCAGGAAAATTAAATAGTAGTACATCGGTACTATCAATGCAGAGCCAAAATGTAGAGAGAATGAAGAAAATTAATTTTTTGTGGTTGTCAATAGGACAGACAATTCCACCTGGAACAGCTAGTTAGAAACTACTTGGAACAGCTGCCCTCACTGAAGGTCTTCTCACTTTTTAGATAGACACTTTCCAGATATTTTCAGTACGCATGGTGCAACTGCAGGTGCCTGACCGTGCATCTCTCCCATCCTGTAATCATGACGGCGCATTGTCTTTAAAAGTTCGGTACACCATCCTCAGGATAACAGAGTGATTCCCCATCTTCTTCATGCGGCGGGGATCCCAACAACTGTTCAGATATCGAGCCACCAAGATGCCAAATGGGTTCTTCCGCCAACTCGGAGGAGGGATGGGAGTGAGGACGGAGAATGATGGAGGTCACCCTGCTCTAACTGGATGAGACTGGTGAATCTGGCAGTGCTTTCACCAAACCGGCCTTCGAATGGTGTGGCCATGCCGAGGGGGAAGTATGGCAGTGGGGAGTTGCGGTACAAGCCACGTGAGTCTGCGTGCCGTTTTGGATATACACATCTGGATGAGGCTTTTTTTTTTTTTTTTAACGTTTATTTATTATTGAGAGACAGAGAGTGAGCAGGGGAGGGGCAGAGGAAGAGGGAGACACAGAATCTGAAGCAGGTTCCAGGCTCTTAGCTGTCAGCACAGAGCCCGACACAGGGCTTGAACGCACAAACTGCGAGATCATGACCCGAGCCGAAGTCGGACGCTTAACCGACTGAGCCACCCAGGTGCCCCTGGGTGAGGCTTTTTTTGATGGGGAACAGAGATTGTCCTGCTATCCCAAGAAACGGGTGTGTTTTTTTTTGTAGATATACATTCTAACCAATAAGAGATGGGAATCTAAAGCGTGAGGCAGGTCTCATGGATGACGGAAGTTACTTTAAGAATATGCAGGTTTAAGGGCACCTGGGTGGCTCAGTCGGTTAAGCGGACGACTTCGGCTTGGGTCATGATCTCGCAGTCCATGAGTTCGAGCCCCGCGTCGGGCTCTGTGCTAACAGCTCAGAGCCTGGAGCCGGTTTCAGATCCT